AAAAAAAAAAATTTGGGTCATGTTAACCTAGTGTATATGACTTGCACTGAGAATTTCAGTTTACCTTGCCTACATCTGCTGAGCCCCATAAATATTCGTGTATTCATTCCTGTTCGGTTTTGCAGAGCTCCTGCCTGCCTGAAGACAGAGCTGCCCAAACACGGATCTGAAATGGGGTTAGTCTGATGAGAGGTGGGGTCCTGGGAGCTCAGCACAGGGCACGAGAGCAGCGAGAGCGGGGAGCTGAGCCGCTGTCCGCCGCAGCCGCCCCTCTCCGGCCGGGATGCAAGGGGATGCAGCTGGTGCTCTTTGGCAACTGCGTGGATGGACTTTCCATCATGTTGCTCCTAACGGAGCCTGCCCAAAATATCAGCCCCAGTTACTGGGAGGTCACTTGAGGTTTTGGCAGCCAGATGTGGGGGTGAGTTCCTTATGTGCAGTGTCCAGCTGCATCCTGCCAGTGGTCCTGGCTCAGGGGGGTGGATGCGGTTGCATGTTTCCCTCTGCGGAGCCGTTCCTTGCCTCGCTTCCGAGAAAAAGCCTGCAGAGGAGGCAGAGGAGCAACAGTGATGTGAAAAAATGCTCTCCATGCGTTACTGGTCCTGATCCTCTTGCACAGCAATGCCAGTGCAGCAATCTCAGATGGTCTCTGCTGGTCCAGGGTGAGGTCCTAGAGATGGCTGCTCTGGCGTGAAGGCTGCCTCCCCGGCAGGATTGCGCTAACACTCCGTGAAAGGTAAGCGAGTGCCGCGCCTGGGAAGAGCGAGCTAATTTTTCCAAATGGCACAACTTTGCGAATGACAGCTGTGACTTCTGCCTGGACTGCGGTGTGAAATCTGGGGGATGGCTGTGAGCAGCAACTGCCGGAGGGAGCAGAGCTGAGCTCTCGAGTTCCCAGCTAGTGTTGTAACTGCAGGGTCCTCCTCTGTCTGCTCCTCCTCGTGGGTGTTGGAGGGCTCTAGGTGACACAGTTATGAGAAGGGAAGGAGTTACACCTGGGTTTTGCTTGTTTCTGGGGTTTAAATTTCCACCTGTGGTCTGCCTGTCTCCGAACTTCGCGTGTTTCAGTGTAACCAGCTTGCGCGTTGGCTTTACGTTCTGTGGTTTACTGGAGGACCCAAGACTAGGGGTCTCCACAGCTGGCCTGGTGGTGGGTTGGAGCTGCAGGACAGGCTGGTAGTCTCTCCTGATGAGTGGCTCGTGGATATGTGGGTTAAAAATCCCCAGCTGAAACACTCTGGGTGCTCTTACCGAAGTGGAAGTGTTTGCAAAGCTCCTTTTGGTTGAGTAGGTTTAGAGATCAAAGAATTCTCCATCTTGGTTAAAGATACTTCTGTTGAGGCCTTAACAGTCTTGTCTTGATAGCAAAGCCTCCTGCGCTGGAGCTCCTGCTAAAGGCTTGATCCCTCGCAGCCGTTTCAGAGCCCAGGGATGTTTTGTGGTTCCGCATTCCTCCCAGCCTGCAGAGTTTACCAGCTCCAAAGAGGAAAGTGTTGCCCAGCTGATGAGTTTGGAAGTGCCACTGGTGGCACTGGTGCTCACAAACTCCCAGGAGACATTTCTAGGGTTGGTTTTAATTTAAATCAGAGGCACAATATCCTGCAGCACTAATGCAGCATCAGAGCTGAGACTCAGGGGGCGGATCTGCCGTGGCAGGTAAAAGGTTCTTCCTTCAGTGTTTTGTCCCCATTTGATGGGTAAGTGCGATTAGGAAGGAGATGTGCTCATCGTGCCCTGTGTGCCTGTGAACATTCGTGGCACTTTTCCGTGCTCTTTCTGGGACAGGTATGAACACTCAGCTCCTTTTGCAACCTGGATCACAGGGGCATCCACTGGGAAGCATCCGTCAAAAAAGTAGAGGAGGCTGTTGTGGGGCAAGGGAGGAGGCGATGTTGTTCTTGGGACAAAGCTAGACTCCGATGATGTGTAATGAATCTGTAGTTACAAAGATGATACTTAATTATTTCTTTTCCATGGTTTTCAAGCCCTGGTACTGTCACTTTGCTGGCAGCAAATCAAACACCAAGTTAACTTATGTTAAGGAACAGAGGATGAAGTCCTAGATAAGCACTCGGCTGTAGGAACGTCTTAAATTGAAACATGCAGGGGGGACACAGGGGAGAGTATGTTTTTGCTCCCAGCGCTATCCAGACCCCGTGTCTGTGGCCAGGGCTGTGTTTCTCTCCGCTGAAGTGCCAGTGTCGCCTGCCCCATGTGCCACTTGGGATGCGAGATTAGCGCCAAGGAGGGTACAGTGACAGCTGTCCTTCTCCAGGGTGACCTGTAGCTCTTGGTGACTGTAGCATCAGGGTTTTATGTGGACCAGGCGTGAGTGCTTTGATGGATGATGGAGTAACCACACCATAACATACTCTTTAACCACCACTCTTCTCTGGGACAGTGATACCCATCACTGCTGAGCTGGTGAAGCCATCTCCCACCCATGGGTGCCAGGGTCGGTGCTGGGTGCAGGCCTGGCCACGGAGCAGGGCGCAGCGTGGTAGCTGCAGGCTGACCTCCTGTTAATGTAAATATTCCCAAATAATGCCGCTGTTCCTGCCAGTTCCTCTCTCTCCCCCTTTCACCATGTTTAATTTCTGTCTAAGCTTTAGATAAATGTTTTGTATAGAGTTTCTAGTTTATCTTAAATGGACCTGCTGCCACCACAGCTAAAATCTAAACCGACACTTGCCTTAGGGCTCCGGTGCCAGATGAACTTGGCAGTTGCTGACGCGCTGAATGGTCCTGTTTGACCTGCAGACCCCAGCTACAAGTTGCGAGGACCGGCTCTTGCAGTGCATGGGGGAGCGCAGCTTTTAGGATGCCCGAGAGCAGCCCGGGACGTACCTGGGCAATTTTCCTCTCTCAGGGGGCTGGATTCAGACCACAGTTGATGTATTTTCAGACTAACACCTGTCTGAAACAGGTCGTTTGGTTAAATGAGTTCCTCCAGCCTTACACCAGTTAGCCCCAAGTGGGGTCTGGCCCGTGAACCTGGTAAAGTAAGCATTTGAAGGCAGTGTTTATGGCTAGTAATTTGTCTTAGAGGGTTTTTTATATATATATGTGCGTATGTGCCTATGGGTGCATATATGCGTATATACATACATTATTGCTTAGGAACGTAGTTTCCAGTCCTTTTAACTTGTTAAAAAAGTAAACTAGGGAGAAACTGGCAGCAAGTCGGAGCCGCCTGCCAAGCATTGCAGACCAGAGAAGTGGTAAAACATAAACACTTTGGAGTTTATCCTCGGGATTTATATAGTTTGGCTGCTGGGGGATGGACTCTTGCGGAGGGGGGGCTCATCAGCCCCTGGCCACGCTGCTCCCGCAGCGCTGAGCCCGGCACCTCCGCAGCCCCGCTTCCACTCCTGGCAGCGTGCGAGCGAGAGGGCAGCATGTTGTCCGTCCCTTCCCTCCCGCTCCGCTGGCCATGCGGGGTGGGTTTCGGGCGATGGCAGAACAGGTCTGCTTCCCCCTCCCCTCCACTAAAGTGAAAGCAGACCTCCTTGATGCTTAATCAGATTTGAATGTGGTTTTTGGCGTGGCTTTAAAGAGACTGGCAGTGAATAGCTGGTTTTGATGCCATTTATTAAAAACCTCTGGTAGAATTTGTCTCGGAAAGCCTTTGTGAGAGCTGGCAAACGCACAAGGGTTTGATGCAGTTAATGTATTTTAATCTTCACCCCCCCACCCCTTCTCCTTTTCTGTCACTAATTGTAGGGCTCTCAGCTGTCTGCCGCCTTCTCCAGGGGGACGCAGGCAGGCTCTGCAGGGACCTCTGTACAAACACGGGCTTAATATGGTTGCAGTGGCTTGGAGAAAAGTGAGCATCCTCTTTGGGGAAGAGGGCTGGTGTGGGCGGTGTGGGGCACCGGGTCCCAGGTACCGTGCCAAGCTCTGACACTGGGTGGCCCCGGCCACGTTAGTTAACCTCCTGGTGTGACCTCGTTCTCCTTGGAGCAAAGAGGCAGACGGATGGGGGAAACAAAGTTGTCCCTTTTCCAGGAGGCTGGGCAAGTGCAAAGTGTTGGTTTTGGACCTCCTCAGCAGCTGGGAAGGGCTCCCTGGGCTTTCAGATTGAGGTTAATGGGCATCCAGTCTTTTCTTGCTGAGTTTATCCCTCGCTTGCTTGGTGCATCCACTCTCCCTGGACCCAGAGGATCTTCTGAGCCTGTTTCTCACTCTTCACCTGTGTTTGGGACTTTTTTTCACGGTTTGTGCCTGAAGGTGCTGCAACCCCTCACATCATGGTGGGGGCTATCAGGAGCACCATAATGTTTGCCTGAACGATTTGGGCTGTCCCTGCAGCTCGACACATGGATCGCCCTGACGAGCGGCTGGCTTCCTGGCCACAGTGTTTTGAGGAGAGCTCAAGAGCTCTCAGGGAAGCAGCAGATATTGTGCAGCTCAAGGAACAAACAGTTTCCCCCCTAGCCCGCAGTTTAGGCTGTGCATTGCTCCCATCCCTGTACCTTGTTACCGCTGCGTGGAAGAGCTCAGAGCTGCCCTGGAGCGCTCTACCTGGCTGAGGGACTGAAGTTGGAGTTGCATTGCATTTAATTTGTGGGTTTTTTTGTCTGCCTCATCAAAGAAAAGAAAACCTGGCCTTTTCCTGCCAGCCCTTGCTCACGTGAGTTACAAATTCAGCGAGAGCGAGGCGTGGATGAAGATGACTCCCAGGAGAGAAACAGTCTGAGAGACTCTTAAACAAATGGGAACTGAGTGGCTTTGCTCGTCCCCTGAGGGTTTGGCTGTTAAATAAACTCGTTGAAGAGTCTGGCTGCACGTGTGTGTTGGTGCAGAAGTGCGTTTGTATGCAGGCTGGGTGTTGCTGGGTGTAAGCCACCAGGATGGCATGCGTTGAGTGGTGCGCTCCTTGACATAGCAACGCATAAGCGGTCTTGGCTGGCCCTGTCCACCTTCCAGAGTTTGCACGGGTGGTCGTGGTCAGAGGGAAGCTAACATGGCCTTTCCCTCTTCTCCTTTCCCCTCTCCAGGGTTCCACCTCAGTGGGACGGTAACGGAGCCGGCGACTGCGACAGAACCAGAAATGACCTACAAGGTGGCCATCAGCTTTGACCGCTGCAAAATCACCTCAGTGACTTGCGGCTGCGGGAACAAGGACATTTTTTATTGCGCCCACGTCGTGGCGCTTTCGCTGTACAGGATCCGCAAGCCGGACCAGGTCAAACTCCGTCTTCCCATCTCAGAGACCCTTTTCCAGATGAACAGGGACCAGCTCCAGAAGTTTGTTCAGTATTTGATCACGGCGCACCACACCGAGGTGCTGCCCACCGCCCAGAAGTTGGCTGATGAGATCCTGTCATCCAACTCGGAGATCAACCAAGTGCACGGTAATTCCTCCTCCCTCCCTGGGTGGCTTGGCACTGATTCACTCTGCATTTGGGGCTGGGGTGGGTGGCCTCCGCTTTGCCGTGTTTGTCTGTTGCTGCACAGAGAGAGGTGGCTGTGTCAAACTGATGTTAATGCGTGGGTGTTGGGACCACATCGATGTTGGCCACGCGTCCCCATTCTGCCCTCTGTTCTTCTTTATGTGTTTATCTGTCAAACTCTGCTTTAACAGGCAAGAAAAGGCAGAGTGGGCAGGCTCGCGGTGCACAAGGCACAGCTCAGAGTGAGATGGAGAAGCCAAGAGTGGAGGAAGGGAGCACATTTAGACCCCAACACAGAAGGATGTGGTGCTGGGACCCTGGAGAGCGGGAGGTGCAGTGGAGACGTGGCTCCTCCAGCGTGCGGGGACACGGTGTGAGCCCAGCCCTGCACGTTGCTAAGTCAGATGCGGCTGAGCCGGCGGGAGATAAAGCTTTAATCTCCATGGGCGTTAATTTGCCCATAATAAATGAGCACCACTGTCCTGACCTACTGCACAAAGGCAGCAGAGATGTGTCCTGGGGCTTTGTGTTTGGAAGATGCTTTTGACTTCCTCCCCTGGAAAGCACCAGCTGGGGGTCGGTGCCCATCCCAGGCCCGCTCCAGTTGCCCGCTGGCCCAGGAGGTGGCCCAGGCTCCCTGGGGAGTTGCCCTGGGGCTCCCTTCACCAGCCCAAGCCAAGCGCTCCCGCTGTGTCTTTCCAAGGAGCCCAGGAGTGAGGTTGCCCAGGGTCTGCAACAATGAGCCGCTCCCCACCGTGCCTGTCCCACCAGCTGTAGAGCGGAGATAATAAACACTTATCTGCCACGGAAGGGCGTTGTGGGGATTAACACATGCCTATTAAGTGCTCCGAAGATGAAAAGCCCCATATGCAGCCTAAAATAGGATCTGAACTGGTTGAATCCACATGTAGAGGTGAGGCCAGGGGTCCACCTCCACTGTAGGGGTGACGGCAGCTCTGATCTCGGATATTTTCCCCTCCCCTCCCTCTAGCTGGTCGTTTCTGCTTCTACCTTGGGAGAGGCTTTTGTCTCCTCTGCTGGGCCACATCTGCTGCGTGTGTGGTTGTGCTCTAAATTACTGGCTAGGGGGGAGGTTTCCTGATTTTTTGGCATTAAAAAAGATTGAGGAGCTGTGGTACTGCAAGAATCTGGTGAGGTCCGCTCCCTCCCTGAGCTGATCCACTGAAGCTGAGGTTGGGCAAGATCCCTTCTTGGCCATTGTTTGAGGCTGCTTTCTCCTAAGCAGATTGAAGAAAAGCTTTTAAGGCCCTGAATATTTATTGCTCTAGAGTCAGCAAAAGGCTGGTGATTGAGAGTCTTACAAAGATACAGATGTTGGCTCCGGTTCAATATCTGCCTCTTGTTTTTACAAGTGGTTATAAAAAACAAAGCAGAAATTCTCTGTCTCTTCAGACTCGTGCAAATTCACGCGCTCCAGCGTGTGATTTTGAACTGACAGAGACGTGTTGACTTACCCAGCAGAAGGTGGTACCTCTCCGACACGCGTGTGGCTGCCGAGCTGGGGTCACAAGCAAGTGAACGCCTCTGCAAGCAGGACTGCAGCCTGGGCTCATCCTGGGGGAGGACGCAGATCAGCCTTAAGATGATGAGATGATCTAAAGATGATCTAAGATTATCTTAAGATGATCTAAAACTCATAGATGTCGCACCCTGTGAAAAGGAGGGCTCAAAAAACCTCACATTCAAGTTCAGAGTGATGTCATCCAGGGCTTCGGCTCTTGATCCGGGGCAGTGTTGCAAGCTTTGCCCTCCCTGTTCGCCCAGTGAAGCACAGCCGCAGTGCAACTACATCACGGAGCTACTTGAACAAGGAAGGGCTGCAGGCATGTGGGGCTGCCTGTGTGAGAGCAATTCGGGGGCTCCAGTTGAAGGGAATCCAAATTTTTCCCCCATCTTGCCCTTCCCAGCTGCAGCTCACGCATTCATAGAGGATCCCTGATCCTGGGATTTGAAATTCGTCAAGGTATACTTTACATAGAGCTTTATGGGCTTACGTGTGCATTTCTTGGCTGTGTCTAGTTCAGACCCTTAGGGTCACACCTCCGTTCACCTCTGGGTTGAGGCCAAGCTGTTTTTTGGCAACTTCTGCAGCCCAAACAGTAACCCAGCTGCAGGCCAACACAATAACAGTGTGTGCACTGGACACCCAAGGTTATTATGCCTTGGAGCAAGAACAGCCTCTCCAGAAAAATCCTTTCTTTTTTTTTCCCTCCTATTTCTTCTGAGAAGTCTGTTGAGCTTCAGATCAGCATCGGGTCTTCCCCATCTGCCTCTGGTCACCCAAAGGGCGGTTCCTTCCATGTTCATGGTGAGCACGTGGGATGGCGGAGCAGATTCTGCACCTCGGGAGCACTCTGGGCTCGCTGGGGAATGCGCCTTGTGCAAGGGGATTGTCTGGTTTTGTAAAATAAGCCTTTCAGGGCTGCTCCTTCTCCGCTTGCAGAGCCCAAACGGCAAAGGAAATTACAGGCCATTGTCTGACACACTCATCTCGGGGCGTTGGAGCTTTGTTCCTTGCAGGAGTCTGTAGCCGCGGGCTGCACCGCATGCCGATCTTCCCGGCTGCCTTCCTAGAAGGAAATGCAAACTATCCAGTAATGATGGAGTCTCGGAGCGCAGCCAAGGCGCTCCCATGTTCTTGAAGGATTCAATCCGAGCAGAGAGCCTAGGTGTGCCTGCTGCTCTGCTCCCCACTTGACCTCTGCCTGCTTAAGTGGGTCACGTTTCTGCTCGTAGCTGGCTGCAAAGGGCAGCGTGCTCACAGCGAGAGCGTCTCACGTGTCTGACACCTCCACGCTCAGCATCTGAGGCGGCAGACCGGGGTGGGTTTCAGTGCTGCTGTGTCTCCTCCCCGAGTGTGTTTCTGCTTGGGGACAAAGTGAGCGGTGTGACTGTCCAGCACAGAGCAATGCTGCAAGGTTGTCATTGCGCCAGCAAATGTGACTCATGGCTGCTTGGCCTTTCCTGGGGGGGTGGCTGCTGTGGCCAGCCAGGACCTGCAGCTGGAGAGCTTGGATCCAACTCCGACTGAGTGAGGAGCATCTGGTGGTGGCCACCTTGGCACCCTGCTCCCTTCGCTCTTCCCAGAGCATTAGTCCAGGGCTCGCGTTGGTTTGCTGCAGGGCCAGCCTGACTTGGGGAAATGCAAGCTGAGAAAGTGGCTCAGGGCCACCAGCTGTGTTGGGACATGCCGGGATAGGTGCAGCTTTGCCGTTGGGGGGATCCATGCTCTAGCATCATGAATCATGGGAAGAATATGTCCTTCTGAGGTGCTAACGAGAAACAGAGAGCGATTGCTTTGGTGCGGTAAGGTATTGCAGAGGGCCAGGAGGTATCAGAGAGGGCAAGGCTGAGAAGAAGAGCTGAAATAGGAATTGTAGGCAGAGAGGGAGATTTCGGGGGCAAAAGCAAGCAATACAGAGGAGGAGGAACTCAGAAGCACCAATGAGTCCCGACAGCAGCGCTGGGTTTCCTGCTCTTGCAGTGTGGATCCAACATCCAGCAGCAGCGAGTACGCAGGGTCCAAATCAACCAGCAGACTTGGGAGGTGGCATTCATCTCCTCTTGTGCTTTGGTTCATGCTTGTAGGGCGTGATTTGAATTTATTTTAAGAGGAGGACAGGATCAGTGTGGGGTATACAGGAGGAAAGCTGCTGTCTCAGATACATCCTCTGAGCCTGATTGGGATGTCTGGGCTTTGGAGGCAAACATTGGATTCTTCCTGAGGGCAAAAGCAGTCTGTGGCCAAGGAAGGAGAGGAGACCCGTGGAAACCACTGCAGGGACAGAGATGGTGGTCATTAAAATCTTTTATTAGAAGCTTAAAGACAGGAGAGGCACCTCTGAAGAGTGAGAGTGCCTGTGGGCCCAGAAGATTTGGAGCTTAGAGGTATCCTTCATGTATCATCGGTGAAGACTCCCCCTTCCATGGGTGAGGAGCAGGAGGTTTTGGCAGGCTGTGTTTGCAGCTTGGTAACTCGCCCTGCTTGAGCGGTGCTTGGGCATGGCAGGGAGAGCTGCTGCCCTCAGCCCCGGAGATGTGGTCAGGGCAGTCTGTCTGCCCCACGGAAATGCCAGTGGGTGACACAATGTCTGTGGCATTCAGCTGATACCATCGAAAGGCTTGAGATGCTCTTCTCGGCCAGAAGTGGGAAAAGCCACAAAACCTCCGCTTTCTCGCAGTGCAGGGACAGTCCCTCTGAGAACAAGCCAGCAGAGAGTCAATGTGAATCACCAAGAGGCCTCTGTGGTCCTGTAGGGTCTCAGGAGCTTGCTTGGAGGAGAGAACCTTCAGAAAACTCTTAGTGGGAATGGTCCCTCTGGCTTTCGCGTAGGAAAACCAGATCTGCTCATGCAAAAGCCATAAGGAGCCCTCTGCCTCATCTTCTCATTTTTGTCCCAAATGTATTCTTGAGCACCTTGAGCCCTTCCTTCAACTCTTGGGCTAATACTGTCCTTCACCTGTTGGCCAGTCTTGCTCTATGTGCACAGCAAGTCGGCTGCCAGGTTGGCCGCACGGGAAGTCCCTGCCTGCTTGTCCTGTCGCACTGAGCCAGGGCTAACGTTTGAGGAGTCTGCAGGCGGTCTTTAACTTTCGGGTCATCCCACAGCAACATCTGGAGGGCAACACCGGTAAATCTGTTTGAAATTCCGCATTCCCGCTGGGGAGGAGGAGAAGGTCAGGTCTCCAGGGGATTCGTGTTCCTGGTTGCTGAGCTGATGTGAATTTAAGGGAAAATAGCACACCTGAGTGCTGGAGAAAAAGGCTCTGCCGCCGGCGCTTCCCCCTTGTCTTGTTCAGCCCCTGAGGCTGCCAAATGACCCCAGAGCGCGGGTGCGGTGCTTGACAAGGGGCTTCCAAAGACAGCTGGACCCGACACTGGTACCAGCTGGACCAGAGAGCTCCCGGCCATCGTGCTGGGAGCTGGTCTGGCTTCACTTGCCCCATCTCTGTCAGATGGGTGTGAATCTTCAGGCCACCCTGGAGGCTCCGTCCAACCTGCCTCCCCTTGAAAATGAACGAGGAGCCTTGGCGGAGCTTGACTCCTCACTTTGCTGCTATTTTTAGTCCCTCGTTAGAGTTCATTTCCTTTCTGGTGCCTGGTTATTTTCTCTCTGAGGTTTTCTGCTGTTTGTTTATTTGTCCATGTCCTCCCCGCCCCAAGCTGTTCCTTCATGTCTGTTTTCTCTCCGGATGCTGGCGAGGCGGCCCGGAGGTGTTCAGCCACACCACCATGTGCAGTCATGAGATGGCCCTTGTGAACCGCTGCCACGGTGGCCAGCCCTGCTCCAGGCAGCTGTGGCTCAGCCGGCTGGCAGAGCCCACCCTGGCATCGCTGACCCCAGGGCCAGCACGGCCAGACCTCAAGCCGCCAGCGCGTATCAGGCATGGTTGGCCAAGATGACCGCAAGGGAGATGCCAGGGATGCTGGGTTGCTTTTACCATCAGTTTATCAGCTCCAGGCACTGGTTAAAAATAACAATGACCCCTTTTTCTTTGTGTCACCACTGCTGCTCCGTGTGAGACACTCTGGGAGTGCTTCCCATGCTGCCCAGCTGATGTATCTCCCCTTCTTGGGTTCATGAGCTTGAGTCCAGAATGCGCCAATGCCCCGGTGTGAGCCACGAGGTCCCACCCACCTCCTCAGCCCTGGAAACCTGCTGCTTTCTGGTCCAGGAGACGCTTTCATTTTCTTCACGTTGGGCAGCTAATTTCTGAGCAAGGCGTTGAATTTTCCATGCCTGGCCTCACTCTGTTTTCTAATTTGTAGGTTTTTCCAGTCCTTATTTCTCAGTCTTCATATCCCCCTGGAGAAGTCTCGCTTGCCTGTCAAACAGTTAAACCCCAAGGCGGCAGTGAGGGGGGGGTCCTGCTTCTGATTTGATGGGTTGCATTTTTATCTCTGTTTCTACAGCCTGTGTAAATGGGCTTTCCACTCAAGATGTGCGGTTGTGTTTCCTTAAATCTGAATCCGGTAGTACCAAGATCCAGCACATCTGAAACAGGGCTCTTTGGA